GTGAAGATAATGCAGCTCATGAATGTCTGCTGTGTCACGTCTGCTTTCATCGAGTGAGGCTTCACTTTTTCAGTTTTCACAAACAAGTTTGCACTTTTGAGACAGTTTTGTTCACATCTCATGTTTAAACTGTCTGATTTACAAGTTTGCACTTTGTGTTTAATGTGACAGGAAAAAACAAAATACATGAGTATTTTGAAACACAGTTGAACCACTTTCAATATTGTAAAAATAGATTGAATCGAAATTAATCGATTTAGAACATATTAATCAAAATCGAATCGATTCAGGACTTTGGCAAAAAATACCCAGCCCTAGTTATTACCACTTATAAAAGTTAGGCTACATAACAATAATAATAAAAATCATAACTGAAGTTTATTGATCTTACATTGGAAAAATTTACCACTATATTTAACCTATCCCTGGGGGATCAGTGGGCTGCCGTTGTGCGGCGCCCGGGGAGCAGTGTGGAGTTAAGGGTCTTTCTCAGGGACCCACAGTACAGGCTGATGGGAAAATGTGGGTGTCACCATAAGAGTGTGTGAAGTCACATGTTGCTAAAGTTCAAACAACAAATGCTGAATTAAATATGCAAATTACTCATTATCTAAGAGTGAGTAATTTATCTGTATAGAATCTGCACTGAAACAACCCTTTTTGAAGCTTTTTCCTTTTAGTGTTAAAAGAGCCCCATAGAGCATAGAATTCTGCTGAGACAGTTTGGAAATGATTATTTGTTTCTTGGCTTTAAACATGCTTTTGTTTTACAAGACAGACATAAAAAAATAATTTAAAAAAATCACACAAACATCTGGATGTATTTTGTGCTGAGGGATCAGTATTCTGAAGGCGTTCTGTCAGCCCTACACCCACTACGGGGAAAATGAAGCTAAATTCTATCAAACGTTTTTTAAGAAAACTAGAAGGATTCAAGCATCATTAACAGTATTTCAAACATTGCTATTGTGACACTAATTTCATGATTCAACAAGTACGCCTACATTCTGATGCAATATCTGAAAACCCCTTCGTACCAGTATGCCTTTTTACATATAACATGTGCTTTAAAAATACGTAATAAAAAGGACAAAAACTGAGTTTCCATAATCCTAAAAAGCAAACACAGTACTCATTGTTAGGGACATGGAAGATGTACATTAGATGAAATCCATTTCCCCTCACTATCCCCTTTTTTTCTCTGCCAGTCTTACTCCCGGTCACCTCTTTGGCAGGATACCAAGCTGAGTCAAATAAGACAAACCTTAAGTTTTATTCCACTTAACGACCTTGGTCTAAACACAATTTAAAACAACTCTGCAGAGATCTAAGCTTCTCGTCATGTCTCGGAGAGAACCACACCCTGGTGTGATTCAAACTTCTGCAAACACAAATCACACAGGGCTGGAACTTGAGGAAAATGTTAACTTCAGAGCAGACAGTTGCAAATGTTCCAAAAAGTGGTTTTCTTTCAAACATGTGTTTATTTTTTCTTCGTTACTGAGTTGCCTAGCAATTTTTGCCTGATTGCATGTCTCACTGGATATGAAACAGTCAAGTCATCAGCTCACAGTGTTAGAAGGATCATTTTATTACACATAAAATTTACATATTTATAAAAGTATTTACAGTTTAGTTACATCCATAAAAATACTGAGCTTTAAATCAAAACGTACATTTTGTCTATCAACAAAATACACAGTTCAAAGGCAAATTTGCTTTCCCCCAGCAATTCTGAGGGTGATTGTCCCTATTTACACAAAAGGAATAACAAGATTGTTCTAATTTTATTAAAGAAAATGCAGTAAACTGTAAGTGGTCCAACTTGTCCTTCAAAGGACTTGGTCACAACAGAATAGGACAGTAAATCAAGGCCTTTCGGTCAACTTGCTCCCTGCTTGTTTACTCTTGCTGTGTAATCTCAGTGGAGACAAAGGTGCAATCAATAGGAATAGTGGTAAAGGCCATAAGTATGACGAAATGGTCAGGAAAACAACGTCAAGGGGGAAAAAAAAAAGATACGGAGTTTAATTTTTGTTGGGGACAAAGCATTTAGTGTGGCTCAGCAAATAAATGGTGCACAGAACAGGCATAAACTGTACAAAAAGTTTAAAGGGTCACAGATCAAAAATCATTAAAATTTGAAAACCTGTGTTTGTCCTCCAGCTTAAAGTAACAAAAAGATGAGAGCATTCAAATTACAGAAAAGGCTTTAAGTGTTGAATGTGTAGCCTGTTCAATACTGACGTCTGATTACATCCTGGCCAAAGTAAAAAAAAATTTAAAAAAAAATAAAAATAAAGGGAGAAGCTTACTGGTGAAAGATCATTTGATTTTAATAAATGTGTTTCCCTGGAGGTGAGCAAACAAATTCACATAAGGTGTGGTGTAATGACAGACTAGCTGCATGTCTCAAGGTTTGCCAAGGTTTTGGAATATTATGACTTCCAAAATGCCTGAACTCTGAACTTTAGAGAGGTTATTTTATTGACATGCCAAATAAATGACCAGTTACTAGGGTTTACTTTGGCTATAGAGTGTTGCCCGTCTTCCATCTGTTATTGCTAATATTCAAGTTTGCCTATAAAGAGCAGAGCAACTAAAATAATATTCTCTACAACCAACACTTGAAACCTATAAAAACATTTTTGGGGTGTTTATTTAAAACAGAATGTATTCATTTGAATGTCGTAAAATGATTATCTTTGCAGACACGCAAATATTTATTTCAAACAGTAAAGATATTCAAACCTTCTCTGACATTTTTTATTGAAGCTAAATAATACCTCACTGGACCGGGTAAGTTAGATAATCTTACCCTGAGCTGAGATCCAACATGGCGGCCTCAAACAGGTAATAGTGTGCATTTCTATTTGTGTGTCCTTTTTTTACCCTCTATAAAATATAATGGGGAGAAATAAGTTTGTATATGATATATTGCTAACAGTAGGCATCACCACGTCTGTATCAAATCCAGTGTGGGTTATTTTGGTTCTTCTTTGGCTTGGCACTGATCCAAAATGATATGAAGATTTAAACTCTGAAATTAGAGGGTATTTAACAGCAGCATAAAGAACAACAAACAATCTTCCCTTAAGTCTCATTTCAATCACCTCAGACGTTCCATTGAAATTAGTGGCTACATGGTAACAACCATTATCTCTGAATGGTATATGTACATTATTTAAGAAAAAAAAAGATGTTGGAATAAGTTCAATTACATCTTAAGACAACTTTGAAGTGAAATGTATGACTTAAAACAGTTGTGTGAAAGAAAAGGAAAAAAAAAGGTGGATTTTCTGTTTTTCATGACAGAAGTTGGTCTCTGTAGTTCAGAAAATACAGCATCTCTTAAAGTGTCCAAAGTATTTTTTAAAAGCTACATTAAGATGATATGGTATCGCCTAGGAGCAGATTTAGCCATACTAGAGCCGCTCAAGAGTGTTCTGCATATCTAAGCGAATGAGTCTTAGATCTACTGAGTGGTCCAGTCTCACAACACAATGCCGTCTACGTTACAGTGCAGCTCCTCGTTATGTTGAACCTGCCCTATCTGTCGATGGAACTGTCCCTGTTTCTGTGTCCTCCAGCAGTGGATGCTTTGTCCAAGGGTGATACTTTTGATGCTGGGGAGCTGGCTCAACATGTTAGCTGGTAAAGAAGTCACACCAGAGCCAGACAAGTTGAGCTCCTGTAGAGACTCTAGTCCAGAGAAGACTGCAGGTTGCAGACTTTTAAGGTTTGAGTTATTTGAGAGGTCCAAAACTTGAAGGTTCTGGAGATCACTGAAGGTATGTGGCTCAATTTCATGTAGTTCACTGAGACCACTGAGAGAAAGATAAACAAGCTCTTTGAGTTGAGCAAAGGCACCCTTCTTGATTTTCTTGATGGGGTTGGCATCCAGATTTAGGTACCTGAGCGGAAGTCCTGCCATGCTCGGTACGTTAACCAGCTGGTTTGAGGACAAATTGACACTCTGGATGTTTAAAACTCTTCCATGCAAGGTGGTGGAGACTGACACGAGCTTGTTTTGAGACAGATCCACATTAAGGGGCTCGCCGTTCACTTTAGCAGCAAACACTGCCATGTCGAACTCCTGGAAACGGTTGTGACTGAGGTCCACCTCAGCAAGAGGGAGCCCAGAAAAACAGCTAGGAGACAAGCTCTCTAGCTTGTTGTAGCTCAGATCCAGACTCTCCAGGTAACGCAGCTTTGACAATGCATTGGGGCTAATCTGAGAATGAGAAAAACAATGATATTAAACGTCCATTATGCTTTAGCAGTTAGCATCTACCTGAAAAACTGGAGATGCAATTTTAAATGTTAATGTAATATAAGTCTTTTATCATTTACTGATTAAGACTTTTCTTAATTGCATCCAGGTTTGAATCAGCTAATTTCCTTAGCATACTGCAGTCTCTACTCCCATTTTTTTTCTGGAAGGCAGCAAATATTTGGTCAATTTCTTCAGTCATGTTAACATAGATCTTTGACAATGTTCAACTATGGTGAGAAAGCTAACTGGATCTACTGAAAATGCCTTACCTAACATTTACAGCTTTGTAATGTCTTTCTAAGAACATAGCTAGCTCTTCACATTCAGATACAAGCCTTTGTTGGCAGCAGTTAGCTGTATTGGTACATTCACACCAAACAGAATTTTTTATTAAAGGATTCTCAAGCTATCTCAAAGAGGAGGGTGGATCTGGAGGGAAGCGAAGATGGCAGATGTACAGAGGCAAACAGCATTTGTGGGAGTTAGTGGAATTTAATTGCCATCTCAACTGCGAATTAAACTAAGCAAAATTCGTAGATGTTAAAAAATCTGAACTTTGGTTTATATTTGAGCCACTAAATCCAGTCAGGGATCCAGTCATGTGGCTATAAGCTACAGTGAAGGAGCGCACAGGAGATTAGCTTTTTTTTTTTTTTTTATTAAAAAAGGAAGATAGAGAAAATAATTTAGACATGTTGATGTGGAAACGCTCCTAAGTGGATTTAAGCAGGCTTAAAATTTTTTTTTTATTTAATCGCAGAAAGACTGTTTCTTCATCCTACCTCCATCGCAGACAGATGTCTTCTCTCCCCAGCTTCACAGGGGTCTGCCCGGGCAAGCCTCAATGATCCGCCCCAGTACTCCTTTCATTTCCCGCAGTTAGCTTCTAGAGGCAGGCTCCAGCCATACGTAACCCCGCCCCCTAGCTCTGCCTCCCTGGCTAGCTTCTCTACTGCTGTGGTACCATAGTTTCAGAGGGTGATACGAGCGGCTGCCTTGACCTGGTTCTATCTTTTTCTCCCAGTGTTCTAGCAATGATTCCCCGCTGCTGTCGTCTGAGCTACAGAATGCAGCCTTTCCCAACCCTCTATTCTCCAGTTGATTTCACCCCCATGAGGGACTGCAAGGCTCTGTAATGGGTCATGGATAAGCAGAAGTACTGCTTAAAACAACCGTCATCCAGACCTAGCCTCTGGAGGAGCTGGTGGCATTTCCCATACTGGTTCCATCTCTGGGAATCTGGTGAACCTAGGAATGCCAGCATCTTTTTTTAGGCTTTCTAAAGTAAAAAATAAAAAGTCAGTTGCTCTGTAAATCCAAGACCGCCAAGATAATGTAAAACTAATGACCAACAGACTTCATGAAGTAGGAGTCTTTCACTGGCCAGGCAAATTTAAAGACAAGCAAAAGCGAACAAAACTGGCAAAGATTTTGCAGGGCTTTGGTGTGAACGAACCATAAGACTAGTGTATTTGCTCTTTGTTTTGATGCAACCTGTTGATCATTTGGATTAGAACTATGAGAGACGTAAGATTTAATGACTGGGGATGCAGTTGCTGTCTGCACAGCTCCACCCACAAAGAAAGATGTCTGAGGAGAGTACACCGGTCATGTGCCATAGAAGAATAGCTGCAGCAGCCAATATAGTCTATCAAATTTAGCATCACTGTGGAAAGTTAAAAACTTTATAATCTGAATAATGTTAATGTTAACTTTCTTGAGCACCTACCTTTGTAATTTTGTTGCTGCTGAGGTCCAAACTAATTAAGGTAGTATACCCTGGACCGGTTAACATTGCATCGCTGAGCGGCCCCATTTCATTGGAAGACAGGTCCAGGTGGGCGGTATCCAAAGGAATGGTAATGGGCATGGAGAAGCTGGGACCCATGCCTCTGCAGTCCACCCTGGTCAGGCTGAAGCTGTCGAACAGCCCAAAGCTTTCCACCTCACAGTGACAGCTGGGGTGGCAGTTCCTGACAGCATTGGACTGCTCAGCCAACAGCAGCGACAGGCCGAGCCACAAGAGAAGTACCATTATGCTCTGAAGAGAAAGACGGAGAATAAATTACATGCCAGACCGTTTTAAAATGGCCTCACTGTTATTCAAGCAAGAAACATTAACCGCTCAGAAAGAAAACAGTAAAGCTTTGATTAGATCAGAGCAGCTTGTCCAAACCCTGTACAGCTGTTCTGCAACTTTGGACTTTCAGGGAGCTCAATAAACGCAAGGCTTTTGTAAAGGCTTAACAAAGCTTTTATTTGTGTAACTTGAGAAGCCCTGCTTCTCTTCTTTATTCGCCTCCAAATGGCTGCGACCTAATTTCTCTAATCAATGAGTTAATTTGCACATTCATCCTACAGTGAAAACTTAAGTGCCGGGGGCATCATAATTTATGCTTTAATTGTAAAACTAGAAGAAAAATAAATAAATGCTCCTTGGCCCTTGTGTAATAAAACTCCATTTCGCACATATATAAAGACACAATTTGAAACACTGTTGAAAAAACATAAAAACAAAAAAATGTAAATACTTAACATTATAGAATATAACTACAAAAAAACAAAAAATTTAAGAAATCACTTTAAAAAAAAATGAAACATCATACCCTTTCCTTGCTCTTGCTCTGTTCCTCTGAAAAGAGCTCACTCATGCAGTTCATCTTAAGCAACCTTTACACACACAGAGGTACGAAAACTGGACAGAGGTTGCGAGTTAAGCAACATGTAGATACACACAGTGGCTTTCAGGTCAACGAGGCCATGACACAGCAGAGCGCAGGGGAAAAGACGAACATTGCGGTTTCACTGCATCACAGCTGGGTGAGAAATTAAATTACAGCTTTTTGCCAAAGTCATGCGAGGTGAGCTGGTTACCAGACTACAATTACCACCCCCATGTGCAGCCTGGCACGATCTCCGAGGGAACTGCAGCAGTTTAACTTGTTCTTGTCCTGCATGTCCTAACAGGGTACACGAACATCAAAATAATCACTGTAACTATCTCTTTAAAACAATAAGAGAATGCAGCTCGGATAACAACTGTTATGAGAAAAATCTACTGGAGGAGAGGTTTATTTGTCTCAGCTTATGTAACAACCTCAGGTCATATAGTTGCACTGTGCTGCACAGACTGGTTTCAAGGCTCAAAGTACCTTTAATCCCAGCTGTTCACCTCTGTGCAGCCTTCCTTCAGACGCTTTATCTCCTACCTGCTTCACTCACTGTCAAGCTCACTAAACGTAGAAGTCACGCACTTTTACAAAACATGTGTATACCGGAGAAACATTTTAAGGTGAGCTCTAAACTGCGGCTGCAGCTTTTGGTGAAAAGTAATGGATCAGCTACATGAAAGCTAAAATTTAACAAATTTAACCAAACTTTCAAGATGTTAGCCAGTTTACTTCTCTGTAAGTTAAAATAGTCCACTAATGGTGTGAACGTTTGGAAAAGTTAAAGCACAAATTTACTCTGAGATCTACTAAAATGACGGCTACATTCTATCTTGAATAAATGGATCTATTCGCTTTAGTCCAAACAAATGTTTTGTTTTTCATTCAATTTATTTGGGAAAAAAAACAGCTACCAGCTACTTCTTTAATGATGTGACATTTGAGTGTGACAAAAGCCCTAAAAACTAAAACAAAAAAAGAATGGGGGAAAAAAGTACTTTTACTACGGCCCTATATAACACTATAATTACACTAGACGTTTTTACAGCCTCACTGATGAGTCTGAGTGAAGGATGAACTTTCTTCATTCCTTTAGATCCTCAGCAGATCACACATAAACTCAAACTGCCTTAGAGGGGAACAGATTCTACTGCCGCAATTAGCCCAAAGCAACAACAGGATAACTACCCCTCCCACCACCTCTTTCCAAGTAGGAAATTAGCGAGGGAGTGCGAACCCGCTCCAAGACTCTCCCAGAATTTCTCATATCCCTTTTCGCCTTTATTATTTCAGTGGAAGCAGCGACTCCACATCTCTCGGTTCCTAAAAAAACTTGTATTTGATCTGTTTTAAAGTTGCAGAGCTCATATTAAATCTCAACAGATCATCTTGCAGCTACATACAAAGCTGAGAAGCCATCAACGTTATAATAATCCTATAATTAAAGCATATTATCCGTTTGATCAGATTAAATGTGCCAGAAGTCACAGCAGTTTTCATCTGTTTGCATATTTCCCCCCACGGGCAAACATCTTAATCTCAAACCAAAAAGATTCCCTATCAGTTCCTTCTGTTATTTCTGTGATAATTTGCTGATAGTGAACGAAAAGGAACCTTTAACCCATCTACAGAAGTAGACAGAGAAAAACTTCAAACATCGTTGCCTACTTCAACAGTCCTTAGATGGTTCTTTCATCAAACATCTATATCCCTTGGTTTCACGAGGACCCCTCCGTCCCAACGTCATATAAAAGTTAAAGGCATGATGGGTGTGTTATTCGAAGATGGATGCCACCCTAATCCCTTTAACCCAAATGAATGCATGAAACCGAGGAGATGGGAGGGATTTTAAATTAACTCCACGGTTCTCCAGTGTTTTGAAACAATTAGGAATGGAAAGCCTCATCCTGAGTGATAAATGCTTTCTGTAAACTCATGAGGAATGACACTCATCAGCCTTAATACGGATCCTGACGGGTGATCTTTATCTCAATATGGTGCTCTTTTTTCCTACTTAATATTGAAACTTGTTTAGTATCAACAGTAAAACGCTACAGTAGTTCTTGTTAAACTTTGTAGGAAACATAAGGGAATCCTCAGGGAGGAATCCATGAAGGTTTTCTAATGGTTATCAAGTGAAAACTGAAGTTGACCTTCTGGGAACCTTAAAGGAACATTTTCAGAAGGTTCTCCAAAGGCTTCATAGTGAAACATATCAGCAACATTGAGGGGGATGTGCCATGAAGGCTCTCTAAAGGCTCACATGTGTATGTGGTGGATAACTTTCAGAGAACTTTGAGGGATTTTTTTGTGAGGGTCTCTAATTATTAGAGAATGAGAATTGTATTTGTTTCTTAGGGAACATCCCTGGAGATTATCTAACAGTTAAAAAGTGAAACTTGAAGTTAAACTAGAGAGAACCAATAAATAAAACTAAAACCTTCAGGACCCCTTCAATACACTCCTCAAATTGCATTTAGGGAAAACTCCCCTAATGCTTACAGAGCGTGGAGCATTCAGATAATTTTTAAGTTAAATATATGATTCACAGATTACGGTAAGTTAAATATATGATACACAGATAAGAAATTTAAGAGGTCACAGTATAAGAAACAAGGCCAACTGGTCCTTTAATTAAAATCTAGAAAGCAATTTGTTTAGAACTGCTTTTAAAGTTCAACTATTAACTGAGGTATTATTGGTTTAGTTGTCCTCAATCTGCTTGCTTTACTTTACTACTGTACCTACTTTTTTTCTGTTTTTCTGTTTTTAATTTTATTCTACTTTATTTTTTAATTCTTTTAAAGCATTTGGAAATGTCTTTGTACTGTATTGTGCAATACAAATAAACTTTCAATTGATTTGCATGTATACTATTGCATATACATGCATACCTCTGGGTTATCTATACTGTTTTCTAGATGTAAAATAAATGTATTGTATGTTATCAAAGAAAATTGATTAAAGGGTATAAAGGGGTGGGTGTTTAAAAAAGTTCCTCATTCTCTTTTTTAACTTAAATCTGATTGATTTGAGGTATGTTTTAGGTGGATTACAATGTATTCTATAAGTTTAGTATATATATTTTTGTTTGTTCAATAGAAAAAGAGGGTCACTTTATGAGAACCCTTACAGGCTGTGCAGTTTTATTGCATTTTGAAAGTTACAAAGGCCTTATTATTAAAAATCGTTTTATCTTATACCAATAACTGATAATACCACTGGTGTAACTTTCTGAAGGGCTGGTGTAGACATGTCCCCACCAATAATTTCCGCTGATTTACTTCAGCCAACAGTAACAGGGCTTAGCTGCAGCTATCTGTGTTCAGAGCGTTTTGAGTCTGTGTTTTTTCCTCGCTCTTGAGTCCCACCTCTCTGCGTAATATCATGGGATCTGTCGCTTTGGGACATAATATTATTTGGGGTCACTATTCACTGCGTACAGAGTAGCTACAAGGAGGAGGAGAGACACACTACTTCAATATATGTTTCAGTAAAAGTTAGGAGACTGGTTGGTTAAAAAAATTAGAGATGCCACTGAAAAATCCGTTTGTTACACATATGGAGGTTTTCAGCTAAAAATGGCAACAGATTGTACATTTATATAAGTTAAAAAAGGAGGACCATTACTCAGAGTTACAGATTAAAATGAACACATATCTGTTATTTTCTTATTGAACAGAGAATCAGACTGCAGAGCTTCTAGATATCTGGAAAATGATTTTCTCTGGCATCATTATATTGGTAGACTGGTTCATAAATCTGATTTTAAGCAGAGCAGAGACACAATTAGGGAGAGCTGCTGATTTAAAGGTGAAACATTTACTGGGATATGTAACAAGCAATAAAATATATCTCCAATTTTACAAGAAAGAAATACGCAATGCTATAATAAAATTCAACATATCTTTTTTGTCTTTTGTAGTTCAGCAAGACTCAGAAATAGCTGTGCCAGCCAACCCAGAGACAGACAGACACAGGACACAGATTTTAAATTAAAATATAAGAAACGTACAAGAATTAAAGCACAAATAATAAAAATCAGTGTATAAATGATTGTGAAGGAGGATAATCACTGATGCAGCTTAAAGGGAAGCCATGCATGGATGGATGGAATTGAAGTTGTGTCCATACATACAACATTGATGTTGGCATCAGTATTGGCTGCTATTCATCATTTTTTATACATTAATGTTTTTGAGCCCTTTATAAATAATGCACTAAAGGCAGGCATCTGTCTATAACTATGAATATCAGTGTATGGTGGTACTCCTGTGTCCTCAACAATAGGAAAGCATTCAATAAATATATGTTTGAGCTTATTTTTGGAAAATATAACCCCTATTGAAAGTGTTTGGGTTGAGCAGCTGTAGGTCCATCAGCCACTATCCTTAGAGCGTCCCCAACAACTTTTATCACAAAGTTACACCCTTGTTATAAACTACGGAAATGCATCATAATGAATCCTACTTCATGACAGGGGTCTGCACACGCTGAGTATGTTTATTTATAAAACAAAATAAGCTCTACAGACGTCAGAAGTTTCCTTTAGAGGTTAGTTAAGTGAGTAAATAACCGCATCATCCGCAGCAGTGGCGGTTCCAGACCATATGTACCAGGGGGCCAGCAGGGGGCCAGCGTGTTTTCATGGGGGCCCAGAAAATCATGAAATGAAAAAACAAAATTCAAATATATTAAGATAGCTGCATGAAGTGAGTTTTTTATTCAATTAGGTTAAATTAAAATTATATGTCTTATTAGGTCACTATACATTTAGAATTTAGGAATTTTACATATTTTTGACTTAATTCAAGTTAAAATAACCGTTTTAAATAAAATCTGAATAGGAACTCAAGAAAACTGATAACTTCCGCAGTTTTTAAAACTTATTTTGAAAGAACATTTAGCAGATGAAAACTGGGATCCTATCTCAATACCACTGAAGCTATCACCTGTTGTTTTTAAATAATCAGTAAAACAGAATTTGTAAAGAAAAAAAATGAAATAGATCCAAAGGACCTATTAATGTCCACTGTTCCAGCGCAGATCATCATTAGAATTTCTTTAAATATTATGTCTTCAGTGCAGGGGCCAGGACATGATCTACAGGGGCACTGGCCCCCGTTGGCCCCTGTCTAGAACCGCCCATGTCCCGCAGTGAGCCCGCATACCGCTGCTCCGGTGCGTTAGTAGCAGATGGGCACGTGCACCTCTGGAGATCAGATTTCCTGCAGCCCGTACGTGGCAACATCCCCGGCTAACATCTCCAGATACCCCATCCCAGCATGTTTCTACTCTCCCAACTCCTAATGCGAGCCCCGCCCCCGCCTGTTGCTGTCACCCCGTTTGCACGTCCTCCATGCGCGTGCCTCACAACTCTTCACACACGCATCAAGAAAAGTTTAATTTTCACCTCACCGTCTTTGTTTTGCTTTGTTATAATAGTTTCAGAGCAGCGGAGAGAATGAAGGGCGATTTGTGGAGTAAAGAGGGGAAAATGTGAAATCTGATCTCCCAGCAGAAGTCCCGCTGCGTTCATACAATGCCCCGACAGCTGCGGTGATTTATCACGTCTCCTCTAGACAGTAATGAACCCATGTGAAATAAACAGCACTTTTTCTTAACTTTTTCGGCGTCTTAAGTTCTGTTCCAACAACTTACTCTGGTCCCTTTTGATCCTGCTCGGTCCGGGCTCTTCGTCTCTTCTCACTTCACCGCTCCCATCAGCGGCCCCGTGTCCCGTTGGTTTATCTGTCTCCTGGTCCTCATCGGCTCCACCGGTCCCACTCTGTCAATTCTCCGCTGCTACACTGTCACGGATTGGAAACGCAACGACGCAAACCTCTATTCCCATCCCATGAAGCCTTTCCTGCTCAGCTTGGGTTTTATTTCGTTGTAAAGCGCGCAAGTGAGCTAAATGAACGCATTTCCGGTGAAGGATTTTCAAATTAAACGATTCAGCTCATTTTTACGAGATATTAACGGGAACATATTTGATGTACATTGAGTTTCCTTTTTCGAGACGGGGGGTGGTGGCGAGTTTTTGACTTCAAAATTATAGTTTCAATTCTTTCAAATGTCCAAAATGTGCGCCAAATGGCAATTTTTATACTCCCTCTCAAACTTTTTTGTGGTTTTATTTTTGAAAGACAACCCGTCGAACTTCCGGTCTTTGTCCAAGGGTTCGCAGAGTCGCTGCTGTCTGGCGCCTCCTTGTGGAAATTTCTCGCAAAAATGGGGCCGCGGTCTGTTTTATTTTGGCCTCAAGTTAACTTTGCTGATTTCACTGATAATATATAATGTGAACGGAAACCAAGACGTTTCCTGTTGCTGCATTCACAGGAATTCCAGTCTGACTTCTCAAAAAGTAACATTTGCATGAATGTTTCTGTGGTATTTCAACACAATTTACATAGGCTAAGGCCTGCAGTTTACAGGTTTGAGTAGAGTTCAAGTCTAATGACTAAAACGGTCTTCCTAGTGACTCCAATATGGCATGAAATTTAGTCCCAAAGCTACATGATACTTGAATGTATAGACTTACAATTCTTGTGGACTTCCAAAGTCAGAGTAAGAAATAGCAGTCCTAGAATATTGCTAACTGCATTCCAAAAAAGTTATAAAAAAAAAAAAATCCACTGGACTTTGCTTCCTGCAGATTTTTAAAAAAGCTTTAAAAGCATTTTTAATTAAAAAAGCTTCCTAGATGCCAAGGGAAAATGTCTTCAAACTTGGAAACAAAGTCCAGTGGATTGTTTTTTAACTTTTTTGGAATGACTCCCAATATGCTGGAATCTTCACCAGCATATTGCTAACTACCATATGCTTTTCTGTAGGCAAGGTGAGGGTTTTTCTATTTTAGCACATAGTTCATTCTTTTTCCTCCAGTTGTTGTACTTAACCAAATGCCTGAACATTTTCTGTAATTTATTTTCTCGATTAAATCCTAAAACTTCTTTGGTGTATCAATAAAATTGTTAGAAAATTGTAGCTGACTTTAAAAGCATACCTTTTGGAGTTCAGGCATGGAGCACTTCAGAAAACCAAATTGTCCTTTGTTGCTGTCGCCAAGTCTTTGTGGGGGTCTTTTGCAGTTTTTTGTCAAACCCTTTCCTCTGGAATCTGTTGGCAGCTATTGATAGCATGATTGTTTTAACTGTCCATTGTTTGCGAAAAGGACATTTTTTAGGCAGTTTTGCCAATATTGTCATATGCCTGCAATGCAGATAAACATTCGAGTCAACAGTCCAAGCCCAACAATCAGTAACTTTTCTCCATAGAACAGCATCATAGCACAAACCCATGCAGTGTACTTAAAATAGTTAAATATCATCCTAGAAAGACACACCAGGGAATTTTCAAAACAAAAAAATGTTTCCTATCACCAAAATATATTGAAAGCATTAGTAGTATTTTATGTAAATAAGTGTCCAGGTAACTGACTCCATGTGGATTTGAAAATAAAATAAAATAAAATAAACAAACTAAAATTTGAAATAATTCAAAATTTTGCTTTAATTTCATTTTTCACAATAAAAATATAAAACATATAATTCTATTCAGGAATATATGTATTTCCTCAACAAACAACCACCGTAATATTCCACTAGGTGGCAGAAGAGATGAAGCAATTGTCACTAAAGTGGTATTGAATGACTGTCAGATTTAGACACCTTCAGGCTTAAAAGCTTACAATGAATGTAGAATCTATAGCAGCAATTCTCTGGATTGAAACTTACATCCTGATACCAAAATCTACTTTTAAAGCAGAATAAAATGAAATTTATAAAGGGCCGATCATTATAAATCAATGACAGTATAATAAATACAAAAATAAAAAAAATATTGAACTCTATTGATCTCACACTGGAGAAATTTACCTCTGCATGTAACCCATCTCCTTGGGGAGCAGTGGGCTGCCATATATATAGATACATATAGCAACTATAATTATAATATAAATATAAATATATATATATATATATATAGTCTCTAGTATTATATTATATTATATTATATTATTTTATATTATTTTATATTATATTATATTAGTGCCATTGAAAATATACAAGATAGTTTCTTTGTTCCAACTAAACTGCCTCCACAGGAGTATAAAATGGACAAAGGCACCTTAAAACTCAGGGTTCCCTGAGTCTTCATTCAGCATTTACTGATGTAATCTTTTCCATTAAAACCTTGTTCTGTTTCATCATTTCAAGAGGATGATAAATAATTTGTTTCTATCATTTGCCCTTATCGTCCTTGTTGTTCCTCTGTATGAGACAAGTATATAATATGACTTATATGATTTTAATAGGAAGTTTATTTAAGTATTTAATGCATTGTTAAAATGTTTTTGTTTTTCTTCTGTTTATGATGGATCACTTTTAAACATCATTATATGTTTGCCTGAAGCCTGTCTCAGGAGCACAACCGTGCTGTGTTGTGTTCCCTGCTCACTGCGCTCGACATGAGCTGTGTCATCATTTCTGTCCTCTATTCCTGGATGCGGGACATGGTTGTTAAGGTGTTACGTTTAAGAGGCTCTTCAGCTTAGGAGGGATGTAGGTCAGCAAAGGTGCTTTCACTTTACACCTAAAGGCTTTTATGCTTAATAATATTGAGTATTATTTATATTTTCTACTTTAAATATAGTAAGATTTTAGTTTGGTTGTACATATAGTTAAAAGTTATTTTAAAAATTGACACAGTAAAAGATATGTATAGAGAAAGAGAGAGAAGGGCTGGGTCATTTTATCTCTGTTTTACATATCCAGAGAGTTCTAACCCGATGTTTGCTGAATTCACCTCTCTGACTTAATTCCTTCCTTTATTATGAGCATTATTGTTCTGTAAATATCCCCCAAATGTTATCCCCTATTTTTTATTGTGTCACCCATTAATCTTCCAATTTTATGACAACTTGCTTCTCACATCTGGCTGACCGATTTAAAAAAAAAAGTGATTCTAAATGACTGACGCACACAAAACACAGCAGAGCTCAGGGGACCTTAGGGATGGCCCCTTTGTTATCAGTAATTACTCCCTCTCTACCAGGAAACAAATTCATTTAATGTGTGGGACCTGTACTGTGGGCATATTAGGACAATTAAATCACAGGGCTGCCAGCTTGGTGCACTGTAGCTGACGTTTGTTTCCATAGAAAGCAATGATCCTTCTCAACGCATTATAGTAGTTCTTTTTGTTATAAATACAGTGCATAGCAAAGGTACTAAACCCCCCAAATTTATTTATATTTTTGGCATTTTGTCACATTAGAACCAGAAGTCCTAATGGGGAGAATGGGATCAAATTCTAAACCTGCTAAAGTCATTTAATTATTCTGGCAAAGTTAAATAAGTAAACAAGCCAAGAGGTCTGAACAATCTAAAGAATTTCAGACAGAAGAGCTGCCCTAAACTCAAAACAGTATCGATAGGAAACCCATGAGAAGGCCTATTAAAAAACAAACAAAAAAAACAGAGAAAAGTTGTTCTTGTTCATCTCTGTTTCTGTAAAAGCTTTGTGCTGCTAAAAAAAGCAACACTAAACATCACCCAGGTCATATTCTGATCATATCTCTAGTGAAACATTGTGGTGGTGGGGACTGTCCCTTCAGCAGGAACGGTTTAACTAGTATGATGGAAAGAGGGATGTAGCTAATAACAGGGTGGAGACTCACCATCCAGTAGAATAGCAATCCAGTCCTAAATCCAACTGGGAATCTGAGGCAAAACATGATAAAATGAAACAATCGTCTTCCTAAAAAATGGCTGATCTCTAGCCACTTTGCAAATTATTGACTCCAAATTCATGGACTGTACTTTTATAGGCCTCAATATTGACCATACTGGTAGATATATACCCCAAAGGAAGAAGGTTCTGTACTGTACTAATAGAAGAACAGTGGATGTAAATTAATGTCAATATTTGCCTTTTCTTTCTCTTCATTATTTTTATCAACAGGATAATTGTGCAATGTATGTTTGTCTAAAAGAATAAAACCACATTGAAACACATATAACTATCAAGTGACAACATTTAAATGATTTAGGGGGAATGGGGGTACTTGTGCAAACTTTAGTACATTTTTATTGCTTAAATAAAAAAAAAAATCTAATTCAATTCAATTCTGAAACTTAGCATAAAAAATGTATGTTATGCTTTAAAGAGAAGGCCTCCACTACAGGAGTACAGCACTTTTAGAGTGGACTAAGGCCTGCTGTCAATCCTCTTACATTATGCCTCATTGAAAATGGATTAGACAGTATCACCTGCGTTTGGACCCTAGGTCACTTTGGGAGGATTTCACTGAATGGGCCTGACCGACACCAGCCTCCCCTGTAGATAAAAGACTTTAAAACTCTTTCTTTTTTAAAGAAAAAATCTAAATAAGGATCAGGGGCTTGTTGATTATTTTCCCTAATACTTTTTTTGTAATTTCTTCCTTCTTTTCTTTATTTTTCACCGTGATTAAATAACATAAAAAGGAATCAAAAGTCAGATATTTTTTCGGACATGTTGTCTCTCCTGTTTGTGGAAACGCCCATGAGTCTTCAGAGACACTGAGTGAGGAACGTAAGTAGCTCTCCAGGGTGCTGAAGTTGTCTCCAAACGCCTAGACGCGCCTCCTGTCACTTCCAGCCCATAATCCTAGCAATGAGCGGGCTGGTTCTCCTTCTGAGCGACACAAGAGTGGATAGGTAAGGACGGGATGATGGTAGACGCTCAGATCCGAGAAGGCACCTTTAAGATTGTCTCTTCGGATCCAGGATGGTAAAAAAAATACATGGTAGGTTGTAGGTCACTGATGATAGTGATTTAGTTTAAAAAAAAAAAGGGTATTTCTGATATCTGTGTTTTATTTGCAGGTGCCATGGGTTTGAATAGTCAGTTGAAGTGAATACATTTATTCACTACCTTGGACACCCTGGAAGGAAAATGCAACATATTCCTCCAAATGGTTGGGACTCTAACCATCCATGCATGCCCATAATAAAAAGCAGAACGACTTTACCGACGCTGCCCCTTTGTAACTTCCTGTTATGGGTTCTGCTGGGGGTTCTTACCTTCCCCTGCTGTGTTCACTGTCTAATATTCAAAGTGGGGGTTTTGGGGCCTTGGAACTGCGACCCTGTTTACTTCAGGGCCCTTCCCACCGCAGCGGCCAGACTCGCTGTGAGCAGGATCAATGGAGACCCCGGTCTGGATCTGGGTCTAACGATGGACTTCATTATTCTGCAGGAGCCCTGCGAAACCTCCAAAGCCCTGACGGCTTACATTTACTATGACGGTGCAGCGGACGCGTTTGTGGGTCCCACCAACCCTGGATACTGCATCGCTGCTTCTCTGCTGGCAAAAAACTGGGATAAGGCGCTGTTCTCCTTCAGCTGCGTCACCTACGAGCTGGATCGCACCATTGGATACCCAACCTTTGCACGGACTGTCCCGTTTTCCGTGGACGTGCTGTTCACAGTGTTTAAGCATTTCAGATGGGCCGGCTCCGTGGTGATCTCCTCTAATGAAGACCTCTGGATAGACACTGCTGGGAGGGTGGCTGATGGACTGAGGAGGAAGGGGCTTCCTGTGGCTCTGGTCTCAGCTATGGGTCTGAATGATACTGAGGTGGAGCGCACGCTGAGAAAGATCCAAAGTGCAGGAGAAATAAGGGGTGAGTTTATCAGGATATATATCTTACTGTTTAGTTTTAGCTTAATGACAAAATCATTTCTTAAACCTTGTCACATAGTTGTAAAATTTATTGTTTATTTGAGATTTGATGTGATGAAAATTGAGTTGAAACACGGCAGCTACAAGATGTTTAGGGGTATGTCTCCATCAGCTCATGAAGACTGAAACCCATTTTTAATAGCTAATTAGCTCAAGCTCAGTCAGTTTGACTAGTGTTTCCATACATGGACATATCTCTTCAAGTCTTGCAACAAATTGGCCTTTTCTTTTTGATTTTCTTTAAACTAACCTATTCTATTAATCCACCTTTCCATCTTATGAGATCAGCTGCCATGTTGCTGCATCCACCAGTGTCATGATGCTACCAACACCATATATATCTGTGGAAGTAATTTTAATGTGTATAACAGGTTGCACTCATGCCAGAAAGTTTAATCTTGGTCATTTGTTTACTTTGTCCCCTACATGGCTACACTCATCTGCACAATAGATGCTGTATCCAACTCTTTCTTGCAAGTTTTAAAAAAAGTCAGATTTTTAGAGTCAACAGCCAGCAGCTGTCCTGGCTATCCTGCCTGAGCTGTGAACCTCTACAGCCCGCCCACAGAAACCATAGGTCTTTTGATGCTTCTTAGATTAAAATTCTCCACCTCCACTATGCCTGTCAGATAAAGTCAACCTTTGAATTTAATATAAAAGACTGAAAGATGCTTCACGAGATGTCCAAAGCTTAGCATAAAGTTTTATCCGAGCCCTCTATTTATCTTCTTCACAGGTCAATGGGATGAAATCTAGCTTGTTTCGACTCTGCTCCTTGGTCTTCATGACATGTGATATTTGTTGACTAATGTTCTCTAATGAGTATAAAAATACATAACGTGAATGTTTGAGCTGTCTAATACATTTATAAGACACTGTGCAGGTCTATGTTTGTGATATAAAATCAAAAGAAAAATTATTTTTCTGTTGCAAATATAGCACTGAAAATCAAAGTTCTGGTGCTGGATGACATTCCCAAAAAAAAAAACAAAGAAGTTCAATTTTTGGATTTCATCATTGACAATTTATTTGTTTTAGTTGCATCAAATATAATTATGGCTAATAAAAAAGAGTTTAAAAAAGTGGTAGAATATGATAATTAAAAAGTACAAACACTGTGTTATCACCATTATATTTTTCAGTTATCGTAATGTGTATGCACTCCATCCTGGTTGGTGGCAGCTACCAGGCCACTTTTCTCACAAAGGCACACAAGATGGGGATGACTTCAGGGAAGTACGTGTTTGTGCCCTACGATACTCTCCACTACAGCTTGTCCTACAGCAACGTCTCCCACTTCCCTCTCCAAAATGACAGTCTTCTGAGGGAGGCCTACGATGCTGTCCTCACCATCACTGTGGCCTCTGAGCAGCAGTCTTTCAATGAGGCGTTCAATGCAGCCAAGACAAGCCAGGAGATGTTTCTGCCAGTGCAAGCTGAGCAGGTAGGGAAAGTTGAAATGTCACATCATTAGATAGATTCATCGTTTTCTTTAATTTTCCATTGTCCACTCTATTTGTTAAGCATTAATTAGATTATGCTACGCTACCCTTTCTTTATAGCTTTTTTTATAAATAAAAAAACACTTTCCAATTGTTACAGCATGTAGATGTTTTAAATTTTTATGCTCTCTGTTTTTCCTGGGAAGCAAAGATTTATTTCTGATAGGAGTTTAGTTGAGAGCTTTAGTGAAGAGGCAGCATCAGACAGCAGACAGGCAAGGAAAAAAAAGCTGTAGAGAAATCAAAAACAGGAATAGGTTTAAAAGCTATATCTTACACATTGGACATCAATAATGAAGTCAATCAATCTAATACCTAAAAAAAAAAAAATCAAGGCTAGCAATAGTGTTGCACCGATACCGATCCAGCACTAAAATGGTGGTATCGGTATCGGTATCGGCGAGTACCGACAAATAGTGCACCAATACCATTTTGAGAGCCAAATGTTTATTCATCTATTGTCACCCATTCCAGGTAGGCAATAAAAAGTTCTACAGGGTTCACTTTGTATTAGTCTTTTTCCTGCTTCACAAAGGTAGGCAGCAGCTTGACAAAGCCATGATGGCAATTATTTTACATCCAAGTAATATGCAGTTTTTCATATATACACAAACATCGATTTCAAACAGATGGTGTTAGTATGGTATAGGTATCGGCCAATACTGCACAGCCAGGTTTTCGTAATCGGTATCGTAGGCCAAAAAATGGCATCAGCACAACACTAGCTGGCAAGCTTGTGCAAGGAGGAAAAGTACAGCACAGCACAGTAAAACAGCAGAGGTTATAGAGAGTAAACTATTGGTTGAACATAGCATTCGTCCAAAGGTATGGAAAGAAAGGCCCAGTGTTGAAAAAGCAACATAACAATTCCTATTCTCAGGTTTCTAAAATGTAAGGAACACAACAAACATAATGTAAAGTGCTCTAAAAAAATAGCATTAAAATAGCTGGCAGAGGAGAAAATGTTACATATTTTAAAAAACAAAATCTGCACATTACCCTGAACATGCCATTCCAGTCATGAAACACGGTGGTGGCAGCATCATGCTGTGTGGACTGTTTTCTTCAGGTTAGGACAGGAAGGCTAGTTAAAGTCCTTGATGTATGGAGTCAATAATAATAAAAAAAAAAACTCCAGCAAAATAATGACTCTAAATTTTTAACCAGAGCTACAACATAATGATATAGATTAAACCACATACAATGGTCCAGTTAATGTAGCTATGTGCTATTATTTTGTGTTGGTCTAAAATTTAAAAGCAAATAAATGACAAAGCAAGAAAGATTTTAAGGTGTGTGCATAGTTAGATGCACTGTATTAAAATCATGTGTTGTTAATATAGAAAGTGTAATTACAATGGTGCAGTTCTAGTTATAATTCAAACAATGATATAAAATGAAGTAGCATGACAGACGCTTTAAGGGGAGAGAAAAAAAATAGGATCTAAATGAATTTTTCTTTTCAATCAGTAGTTGGTTATTTAGTTTCCAGTTGCCTGTCTGTTTAGAAAAATACCTATGCTTTCTATTGTACCCCCAGTAAAATGTGTACTCTGCTCTGCAGGTTAACCCTCTGTTTGGAACCATCTACAACAGCATCTACCTGCTGGCCAGGTCAATTCATAATGCCAGGAAAGCAGGCATGCGCCTTTCAGGATCAAATCTGGCCTACTTCACCAAGAACACAAGTTTTAATGGCTTCAATCAGAAGGTTCAGGTGGACTCAAGCGGGGAAGTTAAGACCAACTACGTCGTCTTGGACTCTGACAAAAGAAGCAGTCAGCTGTACCAGGCCTACTATGTGGACCTAAAGGCAGGGGTGCTTCGTTTTGCAGGGAGATCTATCCATTTTCCAGGAGGCTCCCCTCCAACAGCAGACTCCCGCTGTTGGTTTGATAAGAACGTCATTTGCACAGGAGGTGAGCGGGCCTTTTGAGTTGGCCTTTGGTATCCACACTTCAACACTTGTCCAACCAACTCTTCTAACCCTGTAACGTGACATGTTCTTGTTTTTAGGTGTGGAGGTGTCTTACATAATAATAGTGTTGGCTGTGATCCTTTGTTTGGCTGTTGGAGGACTCTTCATAACTCTTTACATCAGGTAAGATCCTCCAAGATGGTTGATTACTGATGCTTACTTCTAGAAAGAATTACTGTCACTGGGTTGTCTAATTTTGTTTTTAACATTTTATGTTATTGCTTGGTAGGAGACGACTTCAACAAATACAGCTGATCAAAGGACCCAATCGGATCCTGCTAACTTTAGAAGATCTCACTTTTATCAATCCTCAGCTCAGCAAAAAGGCAAGCTGCAAACCAGTCATTAGCACACCGCTTCATCTCTGCATTGTTTACCTCAAAAAAAAAATATTTAGAGCAAATGTGCAAAGTTTAACTAATTTGCTGGAAGTTTTATTCATTATATCAAAAAGGAAGACTTTTAATCAAAAGGCTGAATTTTTTTTTAGAAAGGATAAAAGAAACACGACACAAAATTATGTCAGGATTGCATTTCTGCAAATTGAACTGGTCAACAGTTTACCCTGAATCCACAAAGTCATGCACAGTCATGCATCACAGCTTTTGTAGGAATATGACTCTCTAAGAAACCCTGATATGTCCTTACTTCTCTATAAATTTATCCACAAGTGCCCATTTTTAGTGTACTACAAATGAATGATAAATTATGCTTTGTTCTCAGACAGATCAATTTCTTGGCTGTTTCAGTTAAGATAATTTCATATTAAATGCTGACATCCTCTCTTGTTTTCAGCTATATCATGAAAGTCCAAGTGTACTACAGGTTTATGTGTAAGAAAACACAGAAGAAGCTTGATGCCACTTGCAAAGCAAGTCTATTAGCAAACCAGAATTGCATCTATTTGAAATCTGAGAAATAACAGGCAAAATCCATTTAGCGTGGTTGAATAAGCAGATCATACACTAAGCATCACGACATGCAAAATACTGGGAGGAAGTTATAATAATGTGATTACTTACTAGAATATATTGAAAGTCAGGTACAAACATAAAATTCAAAAATTTCTTCCCACATTGTGGCAACGAAAAGGCATAGGTGCTATGACTGGATAGAGAGTATCTTCCATGCAGGTGTTTATTTATTTGGACTCCCAAAAAACTAAAAAAGTAGAGACATATCATCTAATAATCAATGCTTTTTTTGGAATAAAATAGTAACAAAAATGTATGTTCATATGTCCAAACTATGGATCATTCTATTACACTTTCCGAGTGTTTTTTCTGGTGTGCTGTCCATCAATGCCGCATTCATTTGAGAGGTAGGGTTAGTGGGGGTGTGGTGTTGGGACGCATTTGACTTGACCATTACTTCTTTTCATTTTGGGATCTAGCTGAAGTAAATAGACTATTATTCCTAATAGTTTCTTTAGGAAATTTAAACTATTTATGTAACATATTGCAACATTGGTAAATTTGAAACCAAGATATAACTTCTCTGAAACAGAAAAAAAAAAAAAATTAATAAATAAATACAAAAAATGTGCTCCATCTTGTAGGGTGACTGGGTTTGGCTGAAGAAAGTTAAACATTAGGAATGATGATAAATGTTAAGAGAAAATTTGATAAAAGTTTTACTTTCTAGTTTGTCTTTAATCAGTTTTTAGACAGTTTTTTTTTCCCAATTAACTTCTGATGGCAAACCAAACATATTATGTTTGATAGAATAAAAGCAAAATAAAATAAAAAATACAATTGAAAAAAAAACACATTTTTGTTGTAACAGATGAAAGGATCCAGATGCCAGAGGCCTCCTGGCTGTGTGTTTTGCTTCCAAGTCATCCTATGGTTTTTGTTCATTTCATACAAAGGAAAGGGGTCCTCTTTGTTGATCTCCACCTAAATCTTCTCAACAGAGCAATTACACTTGCCGCCCGCAGTTGCAACTGCTCTGAAATCACTGTTGCATTTGGGACACAAAAAATAAATCCACTCTTCCCTTCCAAAGTCTCCATGGTGATTGTCAGTAACAGACACAAATCCTTTTTTTAAATTGGGGGTCCAAACCATTTTTGATCCTACTATCAATTTTGTGCACACATTCAATTGGGATTAAATTGGGATCTAAGCAGATCAGGCCCTAAATATAAAGGCTTCCAGAAATTATATGTATGTTCCTAAAACTTCTCCTTCTTTTTAATTTGTCAGTTTTTTATTCTTTATGTTCCTAGCATCAATAACTAAACCTTTTCAGATTTTCTCCATCAAAACTGTTAAATGTGAAGAACATTCCACTCTAAAATTGTACAAGCTTAATGCACTTTGTAAAACTTTTTAAATGAATCACTCCTATATTATGTTTGCTCTCGCAGAAAATTACTTTAGAGGACCTGAGTGAGTCCAGGAGTGCTCTGGATGAAAAGTCTGCAGACCCCTCCCACTCTGTAAACAGCATGCAAACCGCAACACACGAGAATTCAAATGTTGCTGTGTATGAGGTGGGTTACAGTGCTTTTGGACTATTCAATATCCAAAAAATTGTGATTTAAGACAGGTTTTAGTTTGTCAGTCAGCTGAATTGGTCAGAACTATTTCCTGAAGTTAGTGAAACTGCAATTATTTGTTAAGCATGCTGAAGATTTAATAGGAATCTTAGGATTACAAATATTGTTTTAACGTTATAAATTTAAAGGATACTTTCTTTTTAGAGATGCCAGTTTCCTTTTATTTGTATTTCTAACTTGAAACCATGATATGGCTTCTCTGAAAAAGAAAAAATTAATAAATAAAAACAAAAAATGTGCTCCATCTTGTAGGGTGACTGGGTTTGGCTGAAGAAATTTGAGGAAGGCCAATTCAAAGAGATGAAACAAAGCACAACCAAGATTTTCACAAAGGTGGGCTGATAATACACTTTGCTGATTAATCAGTTGAATATAGTGCTTATAACTGAACTTGTTTAGCTGTGAGAAATAATAATAAACAGAACATTGATCATAAAAGAAATGAGAGAAGAAACAATATATTCAATTTCAATTGAAACTTACACGTTTCATTTGTCTTCTGCAGATGAAGGACCTAAGAAATGAGAATGTAAATCCCTTCCTGGGCTTTTTTTTGGACGGCTACATGTTTGCTGTGGTGACAGAGCACTGCTCACGTGGCAGCCTGCAGGACCTGCTTAGGAACGAAGATGTTAAATTAGACTGGATGTTTAAGTCCTCACTTTTACTTGATCTTATTAAGGTAAACAATTAAACTTTACTCTCCATTCTGCAGAAACCTATTTCTTATGCCATTTTGGGAGTTTTAGAGTCAATTGGTCAATATCTTTAAAACCTTTTTTATGTGTTTTTTAGCTGACCACTAACAAACAATGTTCAACATGTGTTTTCAGGGAATGAAATATCTTCACCACAGAGATTTCCCCCACGGCCGACTTAAATCTAGAAACTGTGTGGTGGACGGGCGCTTTGTTCTCAAAATTACAGACTATGGCTTCAATGAGCTGCTAGAGTCTCAGAAAGCTCCCTTTGAAGAACCCCCACCAGAAGGTAACCCAACCTTTGTCTGCAAAAATACACAGTTAGATTGACCCAGTTAGATTACTAAGCCATACGATGTTAGTTTATTGAAGCTTTACTTCAGTGTAAATAAAAGTACCGGTAACCTCTAAAGAAATTGCTAAAGTAAAACCAGAATAGAGTAAAAGTGACCTGGTTACTTTTTTCTGTCTAATGCTGTTTAAAAAAGACATAATGGGAAATTTGTTCCTTTTTTAACAACTTTTTATAAAGCTGAATCAGCTTATAGTTCTTATTTTTCAACATCTTTTCAAACACTAACCAGAAATTTGGGTATCTGCTAAAACGCAAATAACTGACAACCAAAACTGATTAAATAAATAAAAATATTACAGTTCTGAACTTTACTGTTATTATTTTTTTTATGTTCACCATTTATTTTTCAAAGTTAAAAAACTTCCAATCTTTGATAAATTAATAATTTTCTTTCATAATATACTGGATGTTTCAGAATGGACCAGAAACTGTCCACCAACCCATACATCTCTGACTTGCTCTTAGTCTGTTGTTTGCATCAGTATTGTCTGTATTTTTATTTTACTTTCATAGACTGCTACAGAGTTTTAAGACTGAAACATTTGCAAATGGTTATTTAACATATTACAGTAAGTTTTATTCGGTCTATGCATAATATAAATTAAAACAGTAAGGGGTGTGAGAATGTGGATGCATAGGAAAGTAATGGAGTTAAATATATTGATTCCTCCATTCTGTTGTTTATGTGAAATAAATCTATGATGTTTAAATATTGTTGTGAAGTTGCACACATTTAAAAAACACTGAACAGGAATGAAAATCTTTTGGCAAATGATTGAAATGTTAAAAGTTAAACACCAGAGATTATTTTATCCACCGATAAAAAACTTTTTGCTGAGTGACTAAAGTTTTCTATCACAACAGAACATAAAGGTCCTTTAGTTTACTGCATCACTGTTTCATATTTTATGCCCCTTTTCTAATGTTTTGCATGGACCTGATCACTGTGCTGTTCAATAGATAGTGCTTGCAAACCTGTTTTTGTGTGTGCATTAAAGATGATATAGATTATATTGTAATGACCAAACTGCACAAGTTTATGAGTGGAGGATGTTAATACAACCTGTTTGCATCTATATGATGTTGAAAATAATGTCTAAAAGTCGAGTGGGAACTCACATGTAATACTTTCTACTGTCATTGTGGCCAGAGAGAGGAGAGAAGAGGAGAGATTCTGTGTGCATATAAACATATTTAAACTTTTAGAAATAAAAAAAACTTTCATTACTTAGTGGGTATAAAGACATCTGTGCAGGCCAGCACAGATTAATGCATAGGTACTGCAAGACAAGACAATCTTTACGTAATTAAACAAAAATGGAAAAGATAATGACTGAAAATGAGGAAGATTTTATGGTTTTATGATTTAAATTAGTTGATTTCATCTTTCAATTATTTTGCATGATGTACTTTAATATTCACGGGCATTTATAAGACATACTCTACATTATTATCATATTATCATTATTGCTAATATTTTCGAAATGATTGTTATCATCCTCCTACTCCGTGACTTAGAACGTGACCAATCTCAAATTGCTAGTAGTACACATTATATGCTTATTTAAATAGGGCCGGCCATACCTGTTAGCATATCTTAACGTTTCACCTGCAATCTTTTTAGGTCATCCCCACTAATTACACATATATTTTTTTCCACCCCATACAATTTAATGTTCATTATTTTGATTCTTTGAAGATCAGGCCTTATAAATGTTTTTGCGGGAAAACAATTTTCTGCGGAGATTATGTACACGGTTTCGAGTTAAAATTTATGTTACAGTTTGTCACAAAGCCTTCACCTTAAACGTACCTTGTTACTTTCCTATTCTTTTTCAGTATTTACTTTACTGTTGCTAAGCAACTCTTGCAAATTCTAAATGTTGCATAGTTTTCAACCTTTAACTAGGATTCTGTGTTTCAGTGTCAAAACAATGATCTCTTGCTGCTAAGACTTCACACATGTTTAACTTTTGAAGTATATTAATTAAAATGCATTTTTTCTGTTGGACAACATGCTAAGGGTCGAATAGCTGTGCTAGCATAGTAAATTTATGATCCGGACGTAGTGTCTTTCAAGGCAGGGGACCTCGAAGCACTAAATTAATATTAATGCAGATATAATCTAGCTACATTATTCAGTCATTGCCCCATTCACATACTCATGCTGATAAGCTACATTGTGGCCACTGCTGCCCTGGAGCACACTGACAGAAGCAGGGGCAACTAATGACTGGAACTGGCTCTTGGTAGCTACATGATCCTGAAACGCCTGAAGTTTTTTCCTTTGATGCATTCTTTAAGCTAAATGATAAAAAAAAATCTTCCTTACATACATTTCAGATACATAAACCTTGCCTCCCTGTAGTAGTTGAAAATCCCCTCAAAACAAGAGGTCATGCCTGGGCCAACGACGAAAGAAAAAAAAATTAGGCTGACTGGATTATTTTTCTTTAGCCCTTGGTGGAGATAAATCCAACAGTTTAGACCTTAATCTTGCTTTAAATCTGACTAATCTATCAGAGGTGGTTTGGGAGAAGAGCACTCAGCTTTTCCAGGTTGTATGTTATATTCAAACTTTTAAAATTTAATTCAATTCAGTTTATTTATGAAGTGCCAATTTATCTCAAGTCATCTCCACACACTTTGCAGAGACAATTCAATCAGATCTGTTAAGTTGTGTGGAGGTTTGACCCCATTGCAGAGATGGAAGCTGAGGTAGCTTCTTGCAGATTTAATAACGAGTGGTAGCAACAGAAGCATAAATTCAGAAATAACTGATCAAGGAACAGGATCCAGAACAAAGGGGAACACATTGGTTAAGGAGGGAATGAAGAGAATCCAGCAAACAATAACTACAGATGAAGAGTAAATATATATGCCAAACAGAACAATGAATGAAGTAATCAACTGATTGGGAGCAGGTACTAGAAGGGATCTATGGGAACGGAGACTAGCACAAGGGGACAACAGAGAATAAGCAAGAAATACAATAGTGCTTAAAAATAACTTGAAAATAACTTAGATGACACTAAATTGAAATGAAACTAATCACTTATAAACATAATGACACAAATCAATGTGTAACTAAAAAACTCAGAGTGAAAACGTGAACAGAGCCAAAACACCTAATCAGGAGATCATGACACAGATCATACAGTCAGACTGCTAAAAAGTTTATTTCCACACTTCTCCTGGATAAGCATGCATGCAGCAGCAGAGGATGTTTTTAAATATTTTAATCTATTAATTTTACTTTTGTTTGAAGAACTTTAAGATACTATACTGCAAAGTGCACTATTAAAAATATGAATCAGAATTACTATTATTTTCTAGAAATCATAAAATAGATCATAATCTCCTCCTACTCCATCAACAACAAGCCCACTTATTGGACGTGCAAGTATTTATTTATTTTTTTTGCCCGTGCTGCTTTATCATTCTGTACTTGGATTCCTCTAACATCAGGCCCTCTATATTTATTCAAGAGAGACATTTAAACACTCTCCCTGTGGTTTCTTAGAAAATTCCTCTTTTAGCTCTTCTATATATATTGTCTTACAATCAAGCCCAAGATGTTCCTGTTGCCACTGTTATCCATTTTAAACACATTTTCACAAATAAACATATGGAAGCCTCCTACTTTACCCTCTCAAACTCACCAGTTTACACACTTTGCCCTTTAATCAAATCTCCAACTATAGCTTTTAGTCTTAAACATCTTCCTGATGTATTTTAAACATTCCTGCCCTTCACTTATTTCCCTAAAATGCTGCAGTTTATCTCCTCTAGAAGATGATAGTACCACTTCAACAAGCAGCTTTCACAAAGCACTAAATGTGTAGTTTTGTGGTTAAGAGGAGTTCTCTTTGTTCTTGTTAAGGCATAGTGTTATATTAGGTTATTTCTTCCTCTTAATAGAACCATGTATACTATCTTAATATAACCATGTAAGGGACTATAATATAACCCATGACTGCTTCTTTATCTGTTTCTCTTTCCTCTCTTTCTCTCAGAGCAATTCTGGACCGCCCCTGAGTTTCTCAGGGACTTTTCAAATTACCGCAAAGGAACCTACAAAGGAGATGTTTACAGTTTTTCTATAATCCTTCAAGAGGTGGTAGTGAGAGGGCCACCGTACTGCATGCTGGATTTACCCCCTGAAGGTTTGGATTCCCATGGAGGGAATTTCTAATTTCTCAATTACGGATAAAATTTTGCTGTAAAATAATTGTTATGTGCATCGTTACTTTGTTATTGCTTTATGCATCTGAACTAATTATGGATTCCTTTCACCCATTTAATTAGTTGCTTGGTAGATTAAATATTAATGAAACTGGCCATTTAGCATTATTTCATTAGTTAAGTTGATGGTAATATCAGCCATTAAACAATCTCTGGCACACTGGTTTAAACATTAGAAGTAAATTTCTTCTTTATGCAGAGAAATTACCAGGTGATAATATAGAAATGTCCAAATTTTAAGTGGTGAATATTTAATTCACAGTATAAAGTTAATATAGCTCTTTTTATATTATTATTCTATGCTTTACTTTTAGACTTAATCACTGTCTAGGAGCTTTTATTTATTAATCTTTCACAGCAACTAAATTTTGAACAATTCAGCTTTAAGAATGAGGGGTTTTTGGTAGAACTTAACTTTTCCTTTTCCAGTTTAAGAAGCGATTTAAAATAAGCTTAAAAAATGAAACCTTTTACATTTTATTTTATCATATTGTATTTTTACTGTTTTCAGGTCTGTTTGATTAATTGGCCTTGAATTACAATTATTTTATTTCTTCCAATTTTAATTCTTTTATCCTGGTAAAATATTGCCCCTGTTCAAAATAAACTGAACATGTTCCATCTTCATCATTTATCCCCAGAAATCATCCGTAAAGTAAAAAAGCCTCCGCCAATGTGCCGTCCTACAGTCGCACCGGATCAGGCTCCACTTGAATGTATCCAGCTAATGAAGCAGTGCTGGAGTGAACAGCCTGACCGCAGACCAACTTTTGATGAGATATTTGACAGGGTAACTGCTCAACCACTTATCTTCATGTGTTCAGCCGTTACAATTAAAGAAACCTATCAGTTAATCCTCTTTCATATGCCTACCAGTTCAAGATCATAAACAAGGGCAAGAAGACCAATATCATAGACTCCATGCTGAGGATGCTGGAGCAATACAGCTCTAACCTGGAAGATCTGATCAGAGAGAGAACAGAAGAGCTGGAGGTGGAAAAGCAGAGAACAGAAAAGCTGCTTTCTGAGATGCTTCCACCGTGAGTTAATTCATTGACAAATATAATATTTCAGTTTGTAATTTTCTTTTAATTGTCTCTGTGTCCTCCTTCCAGTTCTGTTGCTGAGGCTCTCAAGACTGGCGCTACAGTGGAGCCAGAGTACTTCGATCAGGTGACAATCTACTTCAGCGACATTGTGGGTTTCACAACCATCTCCTCGCTCAGTGATCCGATTGAAGTGGTTGATCTTCTGAATGACCTCTACACGCTGTTTGATGCTGTACTCAGCAACCATGATGTCTACAAGGTCAGAGGAAAATTTAAATACTGCTGGAAGCACCTTAATTTAAAAAAAAAAAAAAATCTGTTGCTGTCAAGTTCTTTTACATGATTATTTTGAAGTTTGCAAAACATATTTGGACCTTGAAAATGAAATAATATTTGTGGGTTTGATTAGGTGGAGACCATTGGGGATGCTTACATGGTAGCATCGGGCCTGCCGAAGAGGAACGGCAACAAGCATGCTGCAGAGATTGCCAACATGTCTCTGAACATCCTCAGCTCGGTGGGCTCCTTCCACATGCGACACATGCCAGATGTGCCCGTCAGAATACGAATAGGAATTCACTCAGGTGGGCAAACAGGAAGCAACACTGATTATGTTCTGCATATGTATCTAAGAATCCATCTTTTAAGAAAATGCGGATTTTTTTGATTAGTGGTTGGGGATTAGAACACTGCAACGTTTCTATTTTCCAGGTTTTTAGCTAGTTTCTATGCATTCCCTATGGCACTTAAAAGGAAAGGGAGAATGGCAATACATTACTTGTTAGTACAGTATAGTTAATTTAAGATTATGCTAATTGAAAACCAACCAGGGTTGCATGGTGTCACAGTTTGTAGCCCTGTTGCCTTGCAGTAAGAAGGTTTTAATAACCTGCCCAGAGTCTTTCTGCATGGAGTTTGCATGTTCTCCTGGATGCCTGGTCTCCCTCCAGGTACTCCAGCTTCCTCCCACAGTCTAAAAACATGACTGTTAGGGTAATTGTCTTCTCTACCCCGCCTCACCGCAACCCTGATGGATGGATGGATGGATGGATGGATGGATGGATGGATGGATGGATGGATGGATGGATGGATGGATGGATGGATGGATGGATGGATGGATG